AAAAAAAAAAAACAAAAAAAAAATCACATGTACAGCTGGGTGCGACTGGCACACACCTCTTATTTTAGCTACTCAGAAGGCTGAGATATGAGAGGATCAGGTTCAAAGCCAGCCTGGGCAGGAACTCATGTCCAATGAGCCACCAAAAAGCTCAAGGAAAGCATCCAGGCTCTGAGTTCAAGCATTAAGACTGGCACAAAACAAAACAAAAAATCCTATTTCCATTTTACTTTGCTGTTAATGTAAGGTTACACTGAGGAAACTTACCAAATGTTTGAGGCCATCTCGTTCCTGGGCTAGATTCTCTGTCAAAGTAATGAGGTTGGCCAAGTAGTTATGAGCACAGAGTTCGTTCTTCAAGGCTTTTTCTGCATGCTTTTTGAGAGAGTCAATTTTCTTCTGGTATTTCCTAAATGGTTTCAAATGGGGAAACACAAACTGGTCAGTGTGCACAGCCAGGGCTCAGGGAAGTGCTGTATTACAAAACAGCAAGCATGCTCACATTTAAATGCGCCTCTCAGCTGGGAGCCTGTAGCTCATGCCTGTAATCTTAGCTACTCCAGAGGCTCAGATCTGAGGATCTAGGGAGGAAAGTCTGTGAGACTCTTATCTTTACTTAACCACCAAAAAGCTGGAAGTGAAGGTGTGTCTCAGGTAGTAGAGTGGCAGCCTTGAGCGGGAAAGCCTAAGCAGGCATGTGTGAGGTCCTGAGTTCAAGCCCCAGTATGGCACAAGCAAATATTCTTTTTGAGGCTGAATAGCTCAGAGTGAGATCTTGTCTAGCATCATGAGGTCCTCTGTTTGTAATTGAACAAAACAAACACATAAAAAAATTTAAAAAACTGCTCTGCTCGGCAACTTAAGTCTATTATGTTTCAAGGTAAACAGAAGGAAATTAATTGGCTGGGACTCATAATTATTGAGTCCCAACAAATTAATAGGATTTGCAATAAGCCTGCCAGTTCACAGGTTAGTATTATTCTATTGATTCTTTTGGTTGACATTCTGAAAGATATTTGTGCAAAAAGGGAGTCCAAAGTACACTTGGGGGACACAGTAAACTTGTAAAGGTCCCTGAGTCTCACGGCCCATGGTGTGACATGTAGCCATATATGAAGTACAGATTGGAACTCAGGACCTCACCATCTCCCTTGGCTTTTTTCAGTAACAGCTGAAGCTCTACCACTTGAGCCATGCTTCCAGTTCCAGGTATTTTGCTGGCTAACTGAAGATTTGTCTGCCCAGGCTGGCTTGGAACTGAGATTCTCAGACCTCAAGCCTCTTGATGAGTTTAGATTACAGGCATGAGGGCTGGGAAGGTGGCTTAGTGGTAGAGTACTTGCCTAGCATGCATGAAGCCCTGGCTTTGATTCCTCAGTACCGCACACACAGAAAAAGCTGGAAATGGTGCTGTGGCTCAAGTGGTAGAGTGCTAGCCTTGAACAAAAGAAGCCCAAGGACAGTGCCCAGGCTCTGTGTTCAAGCCCCAGGACTGGCAAAAAAAAAGAAAGAAAGAAAAAAAGATTACAGACATGAGCCACCAGTGCCTGGCTGTATTTAATATTTTGGTTCCCACTCATCTTGGCTACCCTTTCCATTCGATCAGAAAAATGAGTGAGAAAAGAAATACAGTGGGAGATTCTTCATGCTTGGCTTTTTTCTTTAAATATTGAGAAATGGAAGAGCTCAGGAGAAAGCACATCTGGAGAGAACCTGTTTTTCTTCTGCGCCTGCTCCAGGTTGGCCTGAAGTGCTTTGTTCCTAGAGGCCCAGCTCTTCTTTTCTAACAACAGACTCTTGTTCTGCACCTGCAGGACCGTCAGCTTCTCCATCAGCTCCTCCAGCTCAGCCCGCTCCTTCTCTTCCTCCTTCTGCAGCTGGCTGGAGGACAAAGAACATGCAGGCATAATTAGCTGAGCACCGTTGCCTGTCATCCTAGCTACTCAGGAGGCTGAGTTCTGAGGATTGTGGTTTGAAGCCAGGCTGGGCAGAAAAGTACATGAGACTCTTATCTCCAAAGAACTGCCAAAAAAGCCAAAAGTGGAGCTGTGGCTCAAGTGGTAGAGCATTAATATTGAGTAAAAAAAAAAAAAAAAGCTCAGGGACACTGTCCAGGCCCTGAGTTCAAATTCGAGACCAGCACAAAATAAACAAACAAGTAAATAAATGAAATAAAATAGCTGTTATTCTTACTCTCACATACCTGGCTTGTAGGTTAAAAAAATCATCAGGGATAGAAACCTAGAAACTATTGGATATACACGGCAGGACTGAGCGACCCCTGTCCACTCTGCCTTTAAACATACATGGGAACTCCTTTCCACTCACTGGAGACTCTACCTCCTTACCTCTGTAATTCGTTTACGATGGAGGTATGCAGGTCCATGGCAATCTTGCTGTCCAGGTCTGTTTTGAGCTCTTGGCAGGTGGCCTGCAACGCCTCCAGCTGCTCCTTGCTTTCTGTCAGCTCCTTCTCCTGGCTTTGAGACTTCATCTCCAGCAGCATGAGTTGTTTAGTCAGCTTAGACACTGAGAAGCAAGAGAAAGATAAAGACATGGCAGGAGAAAAGACAAGAAAATGTATTAGCCGAGTGTTGTGGACTTGCCTGCAATCCAGGCACTTAAGAGGCTGAAGCAGGAGGATCAAGAGAGTTCCAGGCTAATCTGGGCTACATAAGGAGAACCTGTTTCCAAAAATCAAAACCAGCCAATCAGCCAAAACCCCTCAAGAGTACTTATTACTAGGAATCAGCTAATAAATATATACTTTCGGAATAGGTAAGGCTTTATACATAAAAACTGCTTTCCTGGTACTAAGGTTCTGCTAAATGAATGGTCCACACCACAGGACCTACACCACTGGATTCCACACTGAGAAATGAGTGGACACCATGTGGAGAGCTCACAGGAAAGCAGGCAATCATGAGGTGCGCGGCCATTCTGTGTGTGGAGGAGGGGGAAGGGTCTGCCATCCTTGCTTGGTCCCAGCTCACCTTCCTGCTGCTGCTCCTGGTGGATGTCCTGGGCTTTGTTCTCCTGGATCATCAGTTGCTCTATCAGCAACTTGTTTTCCTCCAAAACCAGCTCGGCTTGTGTCTGCAGCTGCTGCCTGTGATAATGGGTAAAAATGAACTAAGATCGCTGGGGACTGAGTGTGTAGGCATGCAAATCTCCAGATCTTTGCAACCAACCCCACATTGAATGAAGATCGTATATGTGCAATGTGAGGGGGGAGGAGGGGGAGGGGAAGTCTGAAATGGGACTCCCATGCTAAACACGTCTACACACAAACGGGGAGAGAAGGGAGGAGTACCCAATGTACACAGGACCTAGAAGCAAGTCAAAATGGCCAATCCTGATCTGATTTTTGGTGTCAGTCATTGAACTCAGGGCCTTGGCACTGTCCCTGAGCCTTTTCTGCTCCAGGCTGGTGCTCTACCACTTGAGCTATACCTCCACTTCCAGCTTTTTGCTGGATAATAGGAAATAAGAATCTCACAGATTTTTCCTGCCAGGCTGGCTTTGAACTGTGATCCTCAGATCTTAGCCTCCTGAGTAAGCTGGGATTACAGGTGTGAGCTACTCTCCCTTCAGATACCTCAGCTATGTGAAGAAAATGCATCTCTGCATTTTTACATTATTTCGTACAGCTTATCCTGGGGCCTGTGTGCTCTGGGGACAAGGGACACTCGGGGCTGACACTTGCCGTTCCACCACACTGACGACCGTGTTCTTTATCACCCGGTGCAGGCCTTCATTCTCCTCCACCACCTGCTGCACCCGCATCCTGAATGCCCGCATCTCCTCCTGAAACACGGGAGGCACCCATGCTGACTCCCCGGCACTGCCTGCAGTCCTGTCCGGCCACCCGCCCTCAGCGAGGAGCCAGGACACCTGCACACCACTGAGCACTGGGCAAAGAGCCCACTCTCTCTCCCTCCCTCCCTCCCTTCCTTGCTCCTTCTTTCCTTTCCCCCTCCCCTCCTTCCTCTTCCTTCCCTCCCTCCATTCCTCTCCCTTTTTCCTCCCTTCCTTCCTTCCTCTCCCACTTATTTATTTCTGTGCCACTGCTGGGGCCTTAAGTCAGGGTCACTTAATGGGGTCCCCAGAGGCACAGGACAACTCTTGTGCATCCCAGGCCTTCTGAGCAACAATGGCCAAGTTAGAAAGATCTTCATGGCCAGAAGCTGTCCAAAGACACGGGAAAGCAGGCAAGGACAAGTATGGTGTCAACAGCTTAAGTGGCGAACTTCCCTGGGGCCAGCAGCACCTAAGTTTACCTAAAACACACATGGCCTCTGCCTCTGACTGAACTTGTCTGCCTCTACCACTGGAGCCACATCTCTAGTTCCGGCCTTTTGCTGGTTTGTGGGAGATCAGAGTCTCATGGACCTTCCTGCAGGGGCTGGCTTCAAACAGTGATCCTCAGACCTCAGCCTCCTGATTAGCTGAGGTGACAGGTGTGAGCCACTGGTGCAAGGCTGGCCCCTACCTCAAGGGTGGCATTCAGCTGGTCCTTCTCGTTCATTCTGTCTTCATAAGCCAGCAACAGCGGTGAGAGGTACTTGATATCCACCTGAACATCACGGAGGAAAGGGGGGTTAACAGAAGCTGGGGCTGATGGCTCACAACTGCCATCCGCGTAGCTACCTGAGGGGCTGAGCTCAGGAGGATGGTGGTTCAAGGACAGCCAGGCAGAGGCATTCCATAGGCCTCCTTCAAACCCACAGCTGGTGCAGGGGCACATGTCTATCATCCCGAGCTACATGGGAAGTTGGAACCAGGAAGATCATGGTTCCAGGCCAGCCTAGGCAGAAAAGTCCACAGACCCCCATCTCCATGAGGGATGCTGGGCTTGGTGGCCCTTACCTGTGAGATTAGCAACAGTGGGCAGCTCACACTCCAGGTACCAGCTTGTGTGGAAAGCGAGACCTTATACTAAAAACAACTGCTGAGGAGCACTGCTGGACGAGTGGCTCAGGGGTAGAGTGCAGGTCTCACAAGCACAAGCCCTTGAGTTGAAGTCCCAGGACCAACTCTCAGAAAAAAAAAAAAAAAAGACGGCTAATGGAGGTCTTCAGTCTAAACCCAAGCAGAAAACTGTTTTTTCTGTGCTAGTCCTGGGGCTTGAACTTAGGACCTGGGCACTGTCCCTGAGCTTTTGTGTTCAAAGCTGGTGTTCTACCACTCTTCTGGCTTTTGGTGGTTCATTACAGCTAAGGGTCTCATAGACTTTCCTACCCAGGCTGGCTTTGAACCATGATCCTCAGATCTCAGCCTCCTGAGCAGCTAGGATGGCAGGTGTGAGCCACTGGCACTTGACCAACAGCAAACGTTATTCAAGGCAAGAAAATAAAGAGGGTTTTTTTGGGAATGGATTTCAATTATTACATAAACAGCACGCAGAAAACGCGGACCTGCAATTCAACAGCCATCTCTTACCAGCCAGGGGGGCGTGGGGCCATTTGCTGGGAGGGCACCAACGTGTGAACTCTAGAACAAAACATGGCAGACAAAATAAACTGTCCTCCTACCACTCCAAGCAATAGATTTCCTTTCTTCTTTCCCTCCCTCCCTCCCCCCCCACCTTCTCAGCAAAGGCCAGGCATCTCCGTGTCCTCTCCTGGGTTCAAGTCCCTGCTCTCTGTGGCCCAGCCTGTTGTGCATACGCCTATAAGCACAACTCCACACAGTGACACCCATGGCCATGGCTGCAGTCACAGCCTGGACCGAGGACAGCACTGACATGCAGTGCCGACTTCACATCTTGAATCTGGTATTTCTCTGTTTTAGTATCTGACAAAGGGGCTTCACCGCCTTTCTTCTGGGGAAAGAACAAAATGGGTCTGGGCCTGAGAATGACTGTTTTTGACATTAAGTGTTTTGGGTTTGCTTTTTTTTTTTGTGCTAGTCTTGGGTGTTGTCCAAGTTTTGTTTTGTTTGCTCAAGGCTGGTGCTCTACCATTTGAGCCAGAGCTCCACTTTTGGCTTTTTAGTGGTTCACTGATGATGAGAGTCTCACAGATTTTCCTACCCAGGCTGGTTTCAAATCTTGATCCTCAGACCTCAGCTTCTTCAGCAGATAAGATTACAGGTGTAAGGCACTGGCACCTGGCTCTGAATATTTTATATATAAATATAATACTGAATTGTAAAAAATAAGAAATCAGCTCAACCCTAAAGGCTGGGAGGAAGTCTGGGAGCTTTTCCTTAGTTAGAAACATTACCTCTTCCTCAGACAAATGCCTGAATTTTGTTTGGTAGCGACTCAGTTCCACGTTCAAACGATGGGCGATTATTTTCAACTGGTCATTTTCATGTTCCAGCTCTTCAATGTGCTTTCTTAGAGAAAGCAACTCAAATGTAGCAGGTACTAAAGAAAATGGCTATGATTACACCGTGACGAACAATACTGGCCAGCATTCATATAACATGCTTATCACTTTGCCTTTGTTTCCCTTCTAGGTTCACAGCGAATCTATACACAACCGCTATCAAAGTCACAAAGCTATCTGGTAAGAGAGAGCTATCTGCATGCAGAGGTTCATGCTTGTAATCCCAGCTATTTGGGAAGCTAAGATCTCAGGATCACAGTTTGAAGCCAGCCCAGGTCTGTAAGACTCTACACACACACACACACACACACACACACACACACACACACACACACACAAACTGTAGGTAGGGTTGGGAAGGTGGCTCAGTGATAGAGTGCTTGCCTTGCATGCATGAGGCCCTAGGTTTGATTCTCAGCACCACATACGCAGAAAAGGCTGGAAGTGGCACTGTGGCTCAAGTGGTAGAGTGCTAGCCTTGAGCCAAAGAGCTGAGGGACAGTGCCCAGGCTCAGAGTTCAGGCCCCACGAATGACAAAACAAAACTGTAGGTAAAACTGTGGCTTAAGTAGTAGAGCACCAGCCTTGAGCAAAAAAGCCAAGAAAGAGCATGAGGCCCTGAGTTCAAGCCCCAGGACCAGCATAGACAAAAGAAATGATGGATAGTAATGAATCTTAAATGTGACAACATAAAATCCAGACATTCACATGAAATCTTACCTCTCAAGGCAAGGGAGGTTTCCCCGCCCTGACCAGAAGCCTGCACAGCCTCTTCTGGCCCTTGGTCACCATGTTCCAGCTTCTGAAGTTTTGATTGTAAATCTTTCACTAGTTTCTTCGTAGCCTTTAGATGAGCTCTGAGATTGTGATTTTTCATGTTCAGGTGCAAATTTTCTTCTTTCAACTCCTCAAGCTTTTCTTTGGTTATTTCTATACATCTCTGTTGTACTCGGCTAGCTAGATATGAAAAGTATGGGGGGGGTGGAGCTTAAAAGGTTGGCTGTTGGCTGTTTTACATCAAAAGCATATAATAAAGCCGGGTGCCTGTAGCTCACATGTATAATCTCAGCTACTCAGAAAGCTGAGATCTGAGGATTAAGGTTCAAAGCCAGCCTGGGCAGGAAAGTCCATGAGACTCTTATCTCCAATAAACCACTAGAAAACTGGAAGTGTCGCTGTAGCTCAAGGGGTAGAGCACTCGCCTTGAGCTGAAGAGTACAGGGACAGTGCCTGAGCCCAGAGTTCAAGCCCCACAACTGACCAAAAAAAAAAAAAAAAAAGTTTTGAGCTGGGCATTTGTGGCTCATATCTGTAATGCTAGCTATTCAGGAGGCTGAGATCTGAGGATCAGGATTCGAAGCCGGCCTGGGTTTACAAACCCAAAAATCTCAACTCAAACTAACTACTAAAAAGCCAGAAGTGGAGGTGTAGCTCAAGTGGAAGAGTACCAGCTTTCAGAAAAAGCAAAGCGAGAGTGTGAGGCCTTGAATTCAAGTCTCAATACACACACACAGACACACACACAAATGTTTGGCTGAGACTGATGTGGTGGTGAATGTTTATAATTATAATTCCAACACTGGAGAAGCTGAGGAAAAAGGATGATAAATTCAAGGTTCAAAATTTAAATAAATAAATAATAATCATTTTTGCTTATTTAGTAAAAGATCAGATTTTGGATATTTTGTGGCTGGAGGCCTTGTTCAAGTAGTAAAGCACTGGCCTAACAGGTGTTGGATCCTGATTACACCTTTCTCCCACAAAAATAGACAGGGGGAGAGAAAATTGGAAACATGTGGCTGAAATTCTAACATAGATAGGTAGATAGATGATAAAAAATGACAGACAGGTAGATGGAATAATCTAGAGATAATATTGCAGAGTGATGTGGCACATACCTATAATTCCATAACTTGGGAAGTTGAGGCAGGAAGATCAAGAGATTAAGGCCAGTCTAGGTTATATGTAATGAGACCCTGATTCAAAACAAAAGATAACCAAAATACTCTTAAAAAATCACATGTACAGGGCTGGGAAGGTGGCTCAGTGGTAGAGTGCTTGCCTTGCATGCATGAGGCCCTGGGTTCGATTCCTCAGCACCACATAAGCAAAAAG